GCGTAAGAGAAAAATATAGAAAAAACAAGATTATGAACAAGATTTCAGAGGAAGTAAAACGTTGAAGGAAGGTAAAAATGAGAAAGCCAAGTAAGACTCATAAACAATGACAATGTTTTCAAGCACATCATGGCCACAAGGATCTATACTAAGGTCTGAAACCTGATCATCGACAATCTGCTCCTCGCCCCGAGGGGACGTGTGTGTGATTGCATATAAAATTGCTGGAAAATCTCTCTCAGCTCGAAGCATTTGCCGTTTGAATGAGATTTAGTGCGCGAAGAAGAAAACAGAAATGATTCTGAGTGATTCTTGAGTGATAAGTTAGAAATACGTGTCTGCTGAGGATGAAAGCTGCGCGGACGCGTCTACAGCGAGTTCAAGGAAGCGGCAGACAGAATTCTACGTAGATAGGAACAAAGGTGGACGTTGGAGCTCATTTGTGGAACTTCAGGTGAGTAATATACGAAATTAAAAGATTAATATCGATCGCGGTGAAAGCCGATCTGCACGAAACCAGGCCAATAATGGCGGTGTTTAACCATACTCACTCTAAGATAGATCCAATTTGTTTGGTGATATCTAGTGGAGGGCAGGACTTTTTCAAGTCCGTGGGCGACAAGACACTTATATATTATAATGTATTATAATATAATACTTTAAGAGTGTAGCTAAAAATGTGAAACTACATAACATCCGACAGACCAAATATAGAATATCATCTTTTGCTTAGTTTTGGAAATTTTTCTTGTGTTAGAGCTCGCAAGATGAATATATTATAGAGATGATATAGAGTTTTAGAAAGCACGAGCATTTGGAATTTAAGAAAATCAGAACTTTTTGAAATAAGAATTCTTGAGAATGTCAAAACTTTTTTAATTTGTTTGAACATCAGAATTTTACATCTTAAAAACTTCCGAATTTTTGTCAGATTCGGATGAACGAAATTTTAGAATCTTGTGAATCTTATTTACGTGATAAATGAACATATTTAGCATATGAAATTCGTTTTTGGTCGTTTTAGAATAGAATTTTGTTAATAGCGAATTTTAATAATAAATCAATTTTGTTACTATATTCCATAACTTCGAATTAAATTACTTGCATAAATCGAATTAAACATAATAAAATTGTTTATTCAAATGTTATAATAATTACGTTCTAAAAACGCATAGTTTGAAATGATAATTATTTTTATATGAGGTCAATTAAAAAATAAAAATTACTTCAAATAGTAATTATATAAATATAATATCACATCATGTAAATCTTTTACCATTCTTTTAAATCAAATATATTCCTTTCTATTGATTTCTTCCAATTTCTTTTTGTCACTTGTCACTTCTGTCGAACGAAATAACGACACGAAATATTCCTATAAGTAAATAATAATAAGTAAAGTTGTTTTGTGAAGAGATCGGAAAATACTATTCATCGGAACAAATTTTCATTTCCTCAACATTCGCAAAAAAAAGAGGAAAATGAAAAATGACAAGAAAACTTTTAAACTTCAAACAACAAAGCTTGAAAACTTTTCTCGAAATCAATGTCTATTGTGAAAAAATTCTTCACAGAGAGTGCGAAAAAATCGATCGATTGTAATTTACTACAACTACTATAGACAAATGAAAAAACAAGGGGGAAGAATATTTGTATAAATAATATATTAAGCCGAGGTAGACGAATGATTCTTCGAGTTCTATACGGCAATCAGTATTTAAGAATTTAAAGAAAATGAATGTGTTCGATAAACAATATCATACCTATCGTATTATAATGAAAATCGTGGGATAAGAAGAACAAGAAGAAAGAAGAAAACAATGTTTATTTACAAATATCTTATTTTTTAGCCATCGAATACAAAAAAATTTTTTTGTATTTGACTATATTTAATCTCTCATTGAAACAAACAGACGTGAAACTTGCAGAAATTTATCGCGTAGTGGATATTCATAACCAAGCTATCGAGTTGGTAAATTAAAATATAATTATATTATATTTTACTCGTTCGTCTCCGAAATGCTTATATCAATTTTATTTTTTTCTTTTTGTGCGTGTGAATTTCATGTGGCTATCGAAGGTTTATCGATGTTATAATAAATAATTCAGAAATACAGATTATGATAGCTAATTTTCTAGTCGTAATTTCAATGGCTATAAGTCTGCATCGAGTATTTTTTTTTTTTGTTACAGAATAATAATAAATACATTCACAATCAAAATATACAAATTTTCGATGCCTTATTTTAATCTGTCCACACAATTATCTTTTGTATTCTCTTCAAAAGAATATAATTAATATTCATACGAAATATTTGTGTTTTAAACGAAACACATCTTTTGATTTATTTACATAAATTTGTTTTTCGGATATCACAAGTTGGCCTTTATTGTAATCTCTGAAACGAATTTGTTGATCTAATTATGACATTTGAAGATGATGTAAAATCATTCGTTCGAGAAAGTTCCCTGTGTCTTTTTTGTGTGTTTTCATGGCCAGCAGTTGGGCCGCTAATAGACTTGAACGAAGAGATAATATTTCTTAAGTACTGTTTTTATGCGTTTTGGCACGGCTCGCTTGGTTTGGGTCGATTCTCAAATAACACTGTTGACTTTGCGTGCTAACATCGCTCTTTGTTTGAGAGATTAAGAAGGACGCTGTACTGTTTGTTTGTCATACGATCTTTGCGTAAAAATCAAGCGTGGAATTTCTTTGTCCTTCGATCATGTTACACTGCCCGCGATGTTGTTGCCTCACCAAAAACTATGATCCTTCTAATTAGCCAGCAAGGATTCAACTGAAAACACGATTATTTCTTCATTTCTTCTAACTTCATTTCCAAAGAGAATTACAATTACATCGACATTCGGTTACGATAATCAGTTTGTTGTGTATAAATCGTGCTTCGTTGAACATATTGTTACGAATTGTAGGAAGCACTGGTCTTTAATAGTCAGCAGTTAACTGGTATACAGTCCATAAGTAGAACTACGTTAACTCAAGGCAAAAAATGTAAAGTGAAGGATGAGAATGCAAAGAAAGAGCGTAATATCAATGAATTGTTTCCCATCTTTGCTTATTTATTTATATAAATATTTTTCTATTCTTTTATTTATTTTTCAACGATTAAAAATTTTTAATTTTTGTTCCAAACCAAAGGGTCTTAATAATAAGTTTAACCTTTTAATCAAAAAATGAATCGGAAAAAAATTATATGTGAGATGATTTAATTCTTCAAATAAGATTAAAATATTATATTTTATATCAAATTATTAAAATAAAATATTCTATTTGCCGAAATCGTATCCTATTTAAAATATCTTTCCATTTAAAAAAATTCCACAGATATTAAATAATATTTGAAACAATATTTATTTCTCCAAAATATTATTTAACACTAATAGAATTATTTTCCAGCAATAGACAGAGCTCAAATCTAACGAGTTGATTATCTGCAGCTAGGGTTTCGAGTTAGGGCTCTTTTTTTTAATACAGACGTTGATTTTTTATTCCATTAAAGAGAGTAGACAAACTTTAATGGATTTTGCTTATGCATGTTCATTTGCTTAACCATAAGAAACCATCGATTCTACAACGCAATTTTTTTTTAATTGCTCTCGCGCAAAAAATAAAAATCGCAAAATCTACTCGGAACTACAATGGAACAAATATCGTGAGTGTTCGGGACACAAATTGACTAAAATCTTTGATACAAATTCGACGTATAAAACACAAATTTGATACGAATTCGATTGGCGATTTATTCCACTACATGCATTTTTCTGGATCGTGAACGCTAAATAGGAGAGACTCACATTCGAGAAATTGTCCATTAACATTGATCAAGGCTTATATGAATTCTTGACCATTTCTTATCTCATTTCGTTTGATTCTACAAATCTCAACTTGACTTCTAAGCATTTTTTAATTAAGAATCCAAATCGTATCCTGGTGTCACTGGTGTCATCAAGTGAATTACTCAGTTATTTTGGACGATGTAGCAGCATTTCTGGAAATAGTACAATTATCTGCATCAATTCTAGAAACAAATGGAGATATATCGTGAATCTGAAACATTTGGAACAGATACAATAATAAAGGATAGAAATTGTGGAATTACACGTAGAAAAAACAAGAAATGACACGACAAGAATTTAAATTCCAAAATATATCTCGTCTTTTATCTCTTTTTATATCTCTTCTACTAATATAATAAAATTATATTAATCATTGTTTAGTAATTTATATTCTCAATTGATTTTATAATATTTATTTTGTGATTCCTCCATTCCTCCATTCTAATATCATACAATTTTATACAATTTTTTTGCTTACAATCATTATATTTTTATTAGATCATTAGATTTCGTCAAAATATTTCATAGATATTTCACGTTACATTATATTAGATAAAATATAATTGCGAATAATTTAATGAAAAATAAAATCAATAAAATATTCCAAAAATAAAAAATTATAAAAATATTAATAATTGAATTCTATCAATAATAATTATTTTCAATATATAAATCACTTTAAACAATAATCAACTATCACATCACGTGAATCTTTTATATTATTATTTTCAAAATGCATTTATTGATTTCTTTCAATTTCTCTCTTTGTCACTTATCGAACGAAATAACGATATGAACTATTTTTTTAAATAAGGAAGAAGTTGCCTTGTCAAATATCTAAAAGATACTATTCGTAACTAATACCTCTGGAAAAAAAAGGAAAAATAAATAAAACATTGAAAAAGCTTAAAAAACAAAGACGATAAAGATTAATAGACAACAAACAAAAAATTTGAAAACTGTAATTTCCTCGTAATCTATTATGGAAAAAACTTTTTGCAGAGAGTGCGAACAAAATCGATCGATTGTAATTTACCGCAATTATTGCATAGCATATGAAAATATGAAAATACAAGAAGGAAAAATACTTGTGTAAATAATGTATGAAGCCGAGGTGTAGTCGAATGATTCTTCTATATGACAGTCGATATCTGATTAGAAAGATGGACGTATTCGACAAACACTACCATACCTATCGTATTGTGTTGAAAATCATAGGACTATGGCCATACAATAACTCGATTTACGTATGGATTCAGAGACTGTGGTTATTGATATTCATTCTTGGCAATATAATATTTCAGGTAACAAAAATTGATTTTTCTTTGTAATTTGTTTAAAATAATATTTGTATAAAATATATTTATTTTAATATATTATATATTCATGTGTATAATCTTTTTTTCGCAATCTTATTTGCATCTAATCGAGAATTAGCCAATTTCACTTATAAAAAATACAACATTACAATGCAAATGCAATCACTTTAAAAAACTTTTAAATTTAATTTTTTCAAAAACGTAGCTTCTAAGGAAGAAATTTTATTCTATTGTTTTTTTTTTTTTTATTACATGATTTTTCAAGCGGATCTTTTATTTTTCATATTTACATCATCCTTTTTGCTTCAACTTTTGCGTCTTTTTTGTTTTAAAATAAACATGTATCATATTTAAAAACAGGATTAAAATATTATACCATCGTTAACAGACTAACACTCAAGCGTATCCTGGTTAACAAATAGAATATTTTTTTTAGATTGTGTCACTTCTAAGATCTGAAATTACGTTACAAAACTGTACTTTAATACTTTTTACGACCTGCCCACTTACGGTAGTCTTGTTAAGATATGTAGGCTTTGTGATATTTTTTCCTATGGTGAGTGAGAATTAAAATTATTGGTCCTTCTGGAAAAAATATTTTTACAAATGTTATTTTACTTTCGTTATATAGATAAAACTTCTCTTTCGTCACATACGTATGGAGGAAAGTATGGTACAAGATTCAATAGAAACACAGATACGAACGAAATATATCGATGATTCCTGTCATATGATCGACATTTTTTTTTGTAAGCAACATGCAGTTTGAATAAATTCTTTTGCAATATCAATTTTTAACATTATTTTCGTATTAGAAAATATTTGTAAATCTATTATTTAAATTTTTATTGTATATACTTTTTATACATTATATATTATAATGTGTGCAAATAAGTTGTTTCCCCCCTTTTTTTTTTTTCCAAATTTAAGATTTTATTACATATATCAGATCATCCGATTGTTTCAGTCGAATAGATACCGTTTGTCTGGTGATTTCCAATCTTTCTGCCAATTCTGGGTCAGATTTTCATTCGGTGCACTGAACGATCGTCGTCTTCCAAATTAAATCTTTTTGTCCTGTAAGGTACAGTGTTCTCTCCCAGTGGTGCACAAACCATTTCAATCAGCCGATTTCCTAAGTTGGAATGCAAAAAACAAGCAAATGATGCTTCTCGCACGCCATATTGTTCGAAATTGTTGCATAGAATTGGAAACTGTTGAGAGCGCTCCTCACGACTCTTCTTAAAAACGAAAGAATGCGGTTTCAGATGGCACCACAAGTAATTGGAATTCGGTCAGAAGTTGTGTTCGTAAGGAAAAAAGGGGAAAGGAATTTGTTTGCGTATTTTAATAATATTTCAATAATAATACAATTGTTGAGTGATCATCGATTCTAAATTTTAGGGATAATTTATACAACTACTGCATTTTGCAGTATATCGTTATTGTACCCTATTACATTGGATTTTATAAACCCTTTGAACGAATCTCGTACGCGTATCATTCATTATTTTACAATGTTTTCTCACCATCGAATCATCTATATTGATATACTATGCTTGAACTATGTGTTTGTTGCAATAATTTCATCATTGTCTGTAACATGCACGGAATCGATATTTGGACTTTATAGTTATCACATAAGCGTGTTGTTTAAAATTATTGGGTGAGTAAAATTATCATATATAATGCTTATTACATAATAATTATAATACTTTGTATATAATATAATATTTAGCCAGATGTGATCGTATAATCCTCGTAAGTTTATGCTACATGAAATATTATATTTTCCTTATTACTTATATATTTAATATACAAGATAAGTTAATATAGATTTTGAGACGAATTCAAACAACTTTTTTTTTTTTTTTTTTGATAAATTTCTATTTCGATTTTTTTTAACAATCAATAGCACAAATTTGTCGTACTTGAACAATAGTATCAAGAGTCGAACTCGGTGATTCTATCGATGAAGTGATAAGCAAAATTTAATAATAAAGTTATTTCAATAATTTATTGTTCAAAACATAATAGTAAATAATTGTAATGGCAAACGGTCAAAATTATATGAAAAATGGATCGATTATAGAATAAATGTTATTTAATAAGTAATTAGTTAATAAGTTAGTTTTTTAACGTCCAACTCTGATTGATGTTTATATACCCTGTATTCGTTATAAAATCGAAATAATTTTCACAATGAAAAATGTTGTATATGAAATTAATCCGTCTAACTTTTCAAAAAAAGTTTCAAGTCAAGTTCAATTTTAAAAATATCATTTTAAAAGATATCTTAAAACTTATTTTAAGATTGGATGTATTAACACACTCAGTAAGGCGTGGATTGAATGGAATAAATTTAAATGTTTATCTAGTTTAAGTGTTTCGTGTTTTTAGTTATCGAATACAAAACATTGTTACGTGTTTGACGATATTCAATCTCTCGTCGAAGCAAATTGACTCGAAGCTCACAGAGCTCTATCGCGTGGTGGATATTCATAACCAAGCTATCGAGTTGGTAGTAGATTAAAATATGATTAAAATATTATACCTTCACAATGTTTATAATAATAATATATTCACGAATTTCATGTTGCAAAGACTTATCGATGCGATAAATAATTCAGGAATACATATGATGCCTAGTTTTCTAATCGTGATTTCAATGGCGATGAATCTGCATCAAGTAAGTATACCTTTTTTTTTATTGCACAGTAATAGTAAATTTAAAATTATCGAAATTTTCAGTTAACATATTAATTATTTTAATCTGTTCAAAAAGAATTATCTTCTAAATTGTGCATATTCAAAAGAATATTTTATATGAAACTTCTGTTGCAAGAAAAACATTTTTTGATCACTAAAACATTTCTTGGTCAAATAATTGAATTTATTTTTCTTTTTTGTTTAAGGATTGCAATTTAAAACGAATTCATTATGATTTAATTATGATCTTTGAATTATTGATTCATCTGTTCAAAGTTTATCTTCATTAACTAGAAATTTTTTTTCATATAGTTTAAAGAAAAATTCTTGCAGAAAAATTGCTCTGTACAGATTATATTCGAAAGAATGCAATGATTTCATAAACGATAATTCCATTTTCTTGGAAGTATCAATTTGACAGATATCGAGCCTTTATATAATCAGATATAATTCTTCTAGAAAAGCATTTTTCTTTAACTACTAAAAAAAAAAAAAAAAAAATTCCAAACAAATATTATAAAATAACAATTCTAGTAAAATATTTATATCAAAAAAAGTCCTATTATAATGGCTTAATTTGACGATGAGGAAAATATGAAATAAAATTTAAACGATTGTAAATGATTTTGATTGATTTTCAAAAAAGCAAAAAAATGTCGTCTCAGAAGTATTCCGGTTTTAAACGAATCTTATCATCGTAAAACAATCTCTTGAAATGCAACAAGATTTATATAAAATATTTTTTTTAGTAAGTAAGTACATATTTTAGAAGATTTATTGGAATTCATAATAAATAAACGCGTAATCCATTAAAAAAAAAAATAAGTATATCTTATTTATCCTATACTATATTTACTTTTATAATGTTTCACAGCTAGTAAGTACGATTTTTAGAAAGGATCAATTAGGAATCTTGATCTTTCTTATATCTTTTATCGTTCAATTGATTATTATATTCATATGTAACTACAATAGTCAGATACTTATAAACAACAGTGAAGAATTGTTTCACGAATTGTAAGTTTGAATTTCTTATTAATGAAATTAATCGCCTTTGGAATGGTGGAAAAAAAAAAAAATTGCTAAAACTGTTGAGCAGATATATTTCTACGTGGTATTTCGTACCGTTAAAGGTACAAAAGATTTTATTGCTGATCATGATACGAAGCTCGACGACATGTATGATTCACATCTTGGGTGTGTTCACTCCATGCCATGCAGGATTTTCAACGGTAATTTATTTAAATAAATATATCATCATTCGAATTCAAACTAATAGAATTTTCTAATATTTCAGATGTTAAGCACGTCGTTCTCGTATTTCACTTTGATGTATTCCATACAATAGAATCGATGGTTTCATGTTACACGTATTAGTATTGAAATAAATAGTTGTTATTGCTCTGTACTTCATTTTTTTTTTCAAATTTATTCTTTTTTTTTTGTTATACTCTTTTTGTGAATATTTGTTCGATCAAATATTCTGTGAATACTTTTTCGACTTGTTAATTTCGACCATTATTAATTTACGATAATTTATTCCTTAATTCTGCATTTTTAATACGATAATCATGGTAAATTTGATAACATTTGATTAATTGTATCACACTTATTTCATAGCACTTAATTAATTTACAGAACGAAACAACTATTATCGAGTATTTGAAACAATGTCAACAATAAATTATTACTTAAAAACTGTTGGAAATTTTTAAAATGCTGACCTGCTTTATAAATCAGTCTTAATTTTTATCCTTAACATACCTTGAAATCGCCTTGAAATCACTGAAGTCTTCAACAGAACTGTAATATCCTATGATTAATATGTGAAATTGACTTAAATATTGATTGATAGTTTTTACTTATATAATATTTTCTTTATGATGACAAGTATTCATATATAAACATTTTACAAATTGTTTCTGTAAGTCCACTTCTCTCTTTGGCCCCAAATAATCTACATCTCGAGGAAAATTGCAGACTAGATTTTATTTTCAATATCTCGAATCTTCAATAGTTTAACAATTAATTCATGACTTCCCTTTTCAACGCTTTCTCAGATTCTCAATTTAATAAAAGAGATATAGCAGCAATGGCAACTTAATGTCACGCTTGCGCGCCTGGTGCCATGCAATGGAAGCAAAACTCTACACGCGACGCGATGGCTCATCCTTCGAAGCCGCCCTCCAACGCGACTATTGGTCCCTCTAATCCCCTCTTAGCTCGCAATTTTCACGGAAAGTAATGATCGGAGGGAAAACGACAGTTTTCTGGATCAGATCAGTTAGAATAGAAACGGAATATATACCGAAAAATCGTATAATAAATCAATTATTTTGATACGAATTCAATTGGATCTGTTCCAATTTTTTATTAAATAATATAATAGGTTTTAATTCATAAAGCATTTTTCTTTTTTTGGCCATATACGAAACGTTGTTGGGCCGTAAATCGAAAAAGTGTCATAATTAAAAAAGTGTCATAATTAAAATAGCAAAGAGAATTCAACAACGATACAGTGGTCGGTCCTTCGAGTAATAAGCATCGGTTCACTAGATTTGTGCAATGTTCAAAATCGTTTATTGAGTTGAAATCAAGAAATATAGAACTTCGATTAATTTAAACAAATAACTCGGATAAATTGGAAGGAAATAAATTTTTTTTATACAAATTGCTTTCTTTTACTTATTTTCAATTACTATCTATCTGCATCAGTAATTATCTAATAATTATTACTTTAAAAAGTGGAATGGAAAGAAATTTAACAGAAAGAAATATAATTATAGGTGTAGAAGTGCGATTCATATAAGAATATGAATATATTTGAGAGTAAAATTACTCTATTAAAAGATTATTTTTTGTTACTGCATACAGCTTTCGACATTTTTATTATTCTCGATTATATTCATATTCTTGATAAATAAATATCAGATAATCAATACTTTAAAAACTCTGGATATTCGATACTTTGAATAATTTCATTGTAATTCTTTAATTCTAAGTAATCTGAAATAAAGAGATTCAAGATAATAGAAGAAATAAAAATATTCAAAGCATTATGTTTTTTAAATATTTCTTTAATTGCCTCGACTTTTCAAGCACTTTCAATGTTGACAAGAAATTAATCATTTCTAATCGATTATGTATAATTCAAATAAAGAATTTAAAAAAATGTTTTTTATAATTCCGTAATTGATGTCAAGAGGAATTTAATAATGTACGATTTTCAAGTGATCTTGTTTGAAGAAATGTCGAGTAAATTAAAAGAACATTATTGTAAAAAATTATTTTATTAATCAATGAAATTGTGCATTGAAAATTGTTATCTTTAACACATAACGTATTAACCATTTATATAATAAAATAATAAAATAAATTATTTTGTAATTTCATTATTTATCTTTAATTATTATAAATTTCTTTCTAAATAGTGATTCAACGGTTCATTTAATTGTATACAATTAAAGAAATTATTATAAAAATATTTACAAAAATGTGAGAGACACTTTGGAATACGGAAAAAAATTCACATTAAAACATACTTAATGAGTTATAAACACTTTAATTTTTACGTTACATAAACGATGATAGAATGAAAAACTCAGCTGGTGATTGAACGCAGCCTGAAAATTAAATATATTAATATTCTTAGATACATAACATAATTGATAAATAACTATTTCTGAATTTCTGTGTAATATAATATATTCTGAACTGGTATCCAGATATGAACAGCCATGCCAGTCTTAATAGCATCGTTTTGCCTGAAAGGAATTACTGTAAACACGTGTTTCCTGGGAGAACAAAAGACAGACTCATTCTAGGGAACTTTCTTTGAACCGGGATATTGCTCATTCAGGATTGGACACTTGTGTATCCCACTTCAGCTCACGAGTTGAACATGGCTTCAAAGGGTACCAGTCTTAGGGAGAACCCTTAAAAAGGAGCGAGAACTTCGAGAAGAGTAGAAACCATCAAGAACCATCTTCAGAATTACTCCAAGAATTATCAAAAACACTTTCAAGAACACTTGTCTTCTGCAGATCAACGAACTCTGGGACGCCTTCACGCAACCAATCCACCCTCACGTAAGTGTCTTTTATTATACATACAAATCAGATCATACTTAGAAACTTACGCTCGAACTAAGAGTATCTCGCTTAAGGTTCGACTAAGCAAAATCGTCCCAATCTTTGAAGCCTTTAATGCAATAGGTTCAAACGGCAATGGAAGAACGTATGGAAGACGCAAATTTTGAAGCAGCTCAGAACGAGAGGAATTCGAAACCTCGTATTACGAGATCGTAGGTGCAGCCGAAAAACTTATAGCCCAATGGCAAACACCTGCCGTACTTACATCTACTTCAAATAATTTCTGACATACATTCAGAACAAAATTACCAATAATGCAATTTGACGGAAATTATAATTTTTGGATAAAGTTTAGAGTTCGAATCGTTGGTACACAACAACGACACATTGACAAATACCGAAAAATTTCACTATTTGAAGGCGTCTCTCAAGGGTGCTGCATCGAGTGTTATACGGTTTCTCTACGTTTCTGAGGATAACTGCACGATTGCGAAACTCAAAAACAGAGGACAAAAAACAAAATCACGTACGTGCTCTTTGGGACATACCTGTATTGAAGAAGAAATCATTTTATGGACTGAGACGGTTGTTGGACGACATGAAGAAAAATCTTTCGGTATTGCAAGCTTTATTACATCATTATTATTCATTTGATGACAACTAAACTAGGTACAGTGACGAAAGGAAAAGGCTCAATTTGCTATAACTGGGGACGTTAAATTATCGGATTTAACAAAATTTCTGGAAGATATTTAAAGAAGGCAGAAAAATCATTACTCCTTGCGCAATAAATCACACAATCTCTGGCAATGTGCTGAATTTAAGAGATTGTCTCCAAACGCACGGATCGCGCATATACAAAAAATAGACGCATGTTTTAATTGTCTGAATACTGGACACAGAAACAAGAATTGTACGCGCGGTTCTTGTAAAACTTGCGGCAAGAAACATAATACTCTTTTGTTGAACATAGCAATGACTTTAATACAAATAACAAAATGAGATATAACAGGCAATATCTATAGCCCTATCATATTTTTTGCAATCATCAGTTGAAACAGTAATTTTGTCCAATAGTGATTGTAAAAGATCAATATGGACTAACACGAGTGTAGAGCATTATTGGATTCAGGCTCTTACTCAAATTTTATAAGTAGTGCAATGGTAAAGAAACGTGAATCAGATACATGCGAGATACAATTCAGCACGTGTTTAGAAATAGCGATAATTTAATTCGGGTTTTCGTTGCACTATTTCATATTTTACTAAACATAAATACGGGAAACATACCAAAAACATCGTTCCAATTAAATCCAAATCCGATAGAATAGACATGATAATCATAATTTTGGTAGGCACTCATTGGGTCCTAGCAATCCTATTTTACAAAAAACCCAATTGGGATAGATTGTTGCAGGCAATCATCAACAAGAATCATTGCAACTCATTGGTGAGAAGTGAACAATTCTATAAGCAGATCGAATAATTTTCAGATGTAGAAAATAGTATATTCAATAACCCAAATTCATTTGTAAATAATCCAGCAAGAACATTTCGTAGAGAACGCTATTCATGATGGACGCTTCGTGAAACAAACATCTGGAACTGAAAAGGCAGTAACACAAATAATGGGTAATTTACCTGCCAGCCAGCTTTGTTATCTCCTTTGTTAGACCATGCAGATCTGTATTTAATTAGGGACAGAACAGAAGATACTGACATTTGAGGAATTATATACTGTCTTGGTACACGTAGAGACAGTCTTTGATTCTTTTAAGTCCCTTGTCATCCGATTCTGATCTAATTCTTCTGACACTTGGTCGATGATTCACTCTCCTTGATCTGCAAAATATAACAATGAACAGAGAGACAAGATTCCAGGTCATTCAAAGGAGTGTACAACACTTTTGGCAGGATCAATATCTGCATCAACAACGCAATAAATAGCATCAGCTAATAAATTTAGATCCAATATGATGATTATCAAGAACGATAATCTCTCATCACTGCAATGACAAGAACGAATCCTGGAAATATATCTTAGAAGGAACAAAATCGCCAGGATAGTAACAATAAAAACTGAGCTGAGGGGATAATTAAAAGGCCAAGGTCTTATGGACAAAGATGCAACTACACGACTCCAGGATGCACAAACAAAGAAACATCAAGAACTAATTCAATAGGCTCATAATAATTGTTAATATAATCAATGTAATTTGAACTATTTAGTTTTAGAATTATTTTTAGATTGTAACATTACTAACTTATATTATTAATTGATTTTGTGCACTTATTATCGAACTGTTAATTTGCATTGTATGCGTTCAAAGCGAGTGGCATGTTCAGACACTGAACAGGTATCTAGATATGAAGATGGTTTGGGATGATGCTGCAAGGGCAATGCCGTTTTTGAGAGAAAATTTCGGTTTTACTTTGCACATTTAGAAACAATTTGGCATGGCTGAAGCGTCAATATAGTCTTAGGATTTGAGACATTTCGTGCCAGTCTCAATGGCAGTCAGCATCATCCTATTTGAAGGGAATTATTATAAATACGCGCAGAACAGGGAGAACAAAGGATTTGTGAGCGGTGTAGCCTGTTGGATTTATTTTAAAGAATTTTGGATCGGGATATTGCTCAATCAGAGGAGTGGTCAGCGTTATTGGACACTTGTGTGTTCCACTGAAGACCCGCAAGCTCACGAAATGAACATAGAAGAGGTTGCAGAAAGATACAGTCTTGGGAAGAACTTTTAAAAATGGTGGAGAAGAGCAGAAACCATTAGAAGAACCATCTTCAGAATTACTTCAAGATATTTCAAGAATTATTTTAAGGCAGAAGAATTACAAAAAGAATAAGAGCCTTCAGAACTCTTTGAATTTTGAACTTCAAGTGTGAAGTTTGCCTTTGATCGTGTGGTGAACCGAACTTGTCAACAACGAATTTCGTAATAATTATTTTTATTCCGTATAATATATAATATATGCAAGCAAATGTTGAGCAATTTCTTCATGAAGAAATAAAAAAAATAGAATGAAATTTTTTCATCAGAAACTTTTTCTTTTTTAAGGAAATTGAGTTTGAAAATTTTTTAAAATTACAACTGAAATTGGATTAATTCTTAATTGGATGCGAACAAATTATCGATAGGAAGAATATGAAAATTGTGAAAGTAAGGAAAAAATATAAAATTAATTTTATTTCGTTTTAAAGTTAATTTTCGAGAATGTAAATTTTAAAAATTATCGATTATACAATTTCTTGACTGCAAACAACATTTGGTTAAAACAAGCCATTTGAATATCGATTGTTGTTGCTATTAAAAAAATATATATGCTGTTCAAATTTGCAATTTGCATGCCATCAAGAGGAATGATATATTTATATTTAATTTTTTAATAAAAAGACGATATGAATCTTGATTTGTTTAAAAGAAATGATATATTTTATGTATCATTGCTTTAAAATACATATAATCTATGGTTCGAGGTTATTCAAAATTATTGAAGATTAATTAGAAAAAATAATTTAGTTTCAATCGAATATTTCATTTATTAACATTTTATCGACATTACTAACAATCAGAGCAATTTTATTGCTCACATAAAGTAAATTATTTTTGCCTTGATCTTCAATTTTAAATAATTGTAATCCTAGATCATTAGAATCTTAAAATTTAAAAAAAAAACGATTTATATGAAAAATGATGGTACGTAATATTATTTTGTTTAAAAATAGACTTCAAATGATTTCTGTCAACAAAATTTAGTTAATTTTAATTCATATTATTATTAGTAAAATTTATAATTTTGAAATTAATACGAATTCAATTATCGAATGATAAAAAAATTGATAAAAATAATCTTTCATGAAATGAATAGTTAGCAAAAAGTATGAAGTATACTGAACAAAAGTGATACAATGATACATTCAAACTTACGTATCTTTAGATATATTTAATTTCCTTAAGCATATTATTTTTCTTAAAAATTTCTCAAAAACGATGAATTTGAACATAAAACAGAATTGAAATTTATTTTATTCATCTCACATTAATTCACTCACATTTTCGTATCGAATCGAATGTTGACTATTCAACGATCCGAATGAAAATGAAAATTCTGTCATCTGCAATACGTGTGCAATTGTTGTTTCAAAATAAAAAAAAAAAAAAGAAAAAAAATGAGAGACATTCAACCTCTTGCAAAACTATTAAAGTAAAATGCAGCTATTAAGTTATAGCTGTGGAAAATTGAAGGAAATTACTTAGAAATATATATACAGAATCTACAAAAATTTCATTGTGAAATACTATAAAATGTGTAAAGACAAAATTGACATTGATGAATAAATAATTTCACTTTTATAATAGGGATAACTTTTAAATTATACCTTCTATCATTCATTCGAAACAGTTCAAACTACATACAACGAAAAAATAATGCAAAAATATTATTAAAGATGGAAATTTTATGTTTTCATCCCTTCAAAGCTGTAGTGTTTATTCGATTGTCGTACAACAATGAACATATTTCAATTTATTGTCAGATTTTCATTGTCCGATGATCTTTGGCTACGATTTCAAAGAGTATTTTATTTCTTTATACTTATATTTTCTCTATTTCTTCAGGTAATCCGGTAAATTTAATTATTTGATTGATAATCAGTTAATGATACAAATTATAATTAAAACTGTGGAAACAAAATGAAATATATGCAATCATTCATGAAAGATTTTGGATAATTTTTATGAAAAAAATCATTTATAAGAAAAATATAATTATTTTATTATAAAGAGTTTTCATATCTTTACGTGTGAGACTATACTTATATATCATTAATATTTTTAACATTATAAAAACAATACTCAAGGTACTCAAATTTATATATTCTATTATATTATAGTTGATACCAATTTTTACAACATCATTAAAATTGGATAATATTGCAAATGACATATCGTTTATTACATTAAATCTGATATTAATGATACTGTATGGATCATACTGCTATTCTATAAACAAAGTATGTCTTTAAGAAATCAATTTTAAATAACTTGCAGTTTATATTTGTATATAAATATTTTTTTTCCTTTTTTTTTCTTCTTTTTTTTTTTTTTATTAATAGATCAAACAAATATTTAATATAATGGAAAACAATTACTATGAATTAAATAACAACGAAGAGCACAAAATAATGAAACATTATATCGATATTGGAGCACATTTAATTAAATTTCTTGCAAGTAAGAATTTGATCAAACAAATTATATTATAATAATTTTTCACAATTTTCATTTTCTCACTTCAATTTCATCATACATAACGTACATACATTAAATTTGAATTTAATTCTTTTAATATCTTTACGATTTAATATATTCTTTTAATTTTTAAATAATTATTTGTAACGAAAACGTACATAACAAATCATAAAACCTAAGACTAGGATCGAAAAAATCAAATTTATATTTCTTATTTAATTAATAATTAATTCAAAACGAAAATAAAAGTATTTAATCATATTATATTTTCAGTATGTCTAATTCTATGTTTCTTTCTTTCAATGTTGGTGATATTATATCCCATGGTTTTTAATGTCATATTACCATTAAACGAATCTCGTAAATTTATTGTACTTTGCGATTTATATTATTTTGTGGATCCACAGGAGTACGCTATTATCTTTTTATTGTATACATTTGTTCTTATTTTTATTTTATGTACGATTATTGGTACTCAATTTACGACAATAATATTCGTTCAACATTGTTGCGGATTTTTCAAAGTTGCCAGGTTAGAAAAAAATATTTTATGATGCGATCTTAATTAAAGTTAACTCTTGTTATTTAGCATATCTATTATTAATTTATGCTCTAATTTATGTTTCGAATTTCGTTATTAAAAAAAATAGTTACTTAAAATTAAATATTAAAAATTTTGACTAACAAGAGTTAATTGCAAATTAATTTTTAATCAATCGTTAAGAATTTTTCTAACAAATTTTAATAGATAAAAATGAAATATAAATATAATTTATATTTTTTACAGTTATCGTCTGGAACATGCGATGGATACATACAAAGCGCAGAATGAAATCGAAATATATTACATTATTTGTGCAAAATTAATCAAAGCAATAGAAATATATAAATTAGCTATCAAGTTTGTATTTTTTTTTTTATCAAATTTTTCTTTTTTTTTTTTTTTTTTTTTTTTTTTCAAGTAAAATTTTGTATCTTCTTCATTTCTC